GCTGCTAAATAACAACAATAGAGTTGGAAGGGACTGTGAAGGTCTTCTAGTCCAACCCCCTGCTCAGGCAGGAAACGCTATACCATTTCGGACAAATGGCTGTCCAGTCTCTTCTTAAAAACTTCCAGTGTTGGAGCATTCACAACTTCTGGAGGCAGGTGGTTCCACTGGTTAATTGTTCTAACTGTCAGGAAGTTTCTCCTTAGTTCTAGGTTGCTTCTCTCCTTGATTAGTTTCCACCCGTTGCTTTTTGTCCTGCCTTCAGGCGCCTTGGAAAATAGCTTGACTCCCTCTTCTTTGTGGCAGCCCCTGAGATATTGGAAGACTGCTATCATGTCACCCCTCGTCCTTCTCTTCATTAAACTAGACATACCCAATTCCAGCAACCGTTCCTTGTATGTTTTAGCCTCCAGTCCCCTAATCATCACTGTTGCTCTTCTCTGTACTCTTTCTAGAGTCTCAACATCTTTTTTACATCGTGGTGACCAAAACTGGATGCAGTATTCCAGGTGTGGCCTTACTAAGGCGTTGTAAAGTGGTATTAACATTTCAGGTGATCTTGATTCTATCCCTCTGTTAATGCAGCCTAGCACTGAGTTGTCTTTTCTGGCAGCTGCAGCACACGGCTGGCTCATATTTAAGTGACTGTCCATATTTAAATGATTGTCCAATTCACTGTCTCTTAATGATTGGCACAAAGTCACCCAACAGCTTTCATGCCTAAGGCAGGACTCGAACTCACAGTCTCCTGCTTTCTAGCCTGGTGCCTTCATCACTAGACCAAACTGGCTTTCTGGGACAGGACTTTAATTGCATACTTGCAATCACTATCTTGACTTTTTAGGCTGGTTCCTTCCATCAAGTCCCTTGCCTGAGCCCATTTCAGATGGGGAGGGAATAGTAATAATACTCACTGAGATCTGAGTCTAAAAAAGATGTTGAGACTCTAGAAAGAGTGCAGAGAAGAGCAACAAAGATAATCAGGACTGGAGGCTAAAATATATAAGGACGGTTGCTGGAATTGGGTGTGTCTAGTTTAATGAAGAGAAGGATGATGGGGGACATGATAGCAGTCACCCAATATCTCAGGGGTTGCCGCAAAGAAGAGGGAGTCAAGCTATTCTCCAAAGCGCCTGAAGGCAGGACAAGAAGCAACGGATGGAAACTAATCAAGGAGAGAAGTAATTTTCTGACAGTTGGAACAATTAAGCAGTGAAACTTCAGAAGTTGTGGGTGCTCCAACACCAGAAGAGATTGGACAACCATTTGTCTCAAATGATATAGGGTTTCCTGCCTGAGCAGGGAGTTGGACTAGAAGATCTCTAAGGTCCCTTCCAACTCTGTTATTCTGTTCTGTAGATTAGTTCTGGTCCCCACTTAGGTATGAAAGCTGACTGAGTGACTTTGGGACAATCACCAAGATATGGTAAGTTCTAGTCCTGCCTTAGGCATGAAAGCCGGCTGGGTGACATTGTCGGACTGATAAGAGTCATAAGCCAGTTCGACAATTCCTGTCACAATCAATGGATCAATTCTCAGTTAATCTGAAAAAAAAACCAGGCCCTGTAAACAGTAGGAAGAAAAAAAATTAATGCATTTTTTAATGCGTTAGTTCAGTGTTTCTCAAAGTGTGGGCTGAATTGTCTCTGAAGAAGCTGTCAGGGATCTGCAAAATCAAAAATATTTGCCAGCCTATGCTGAAAAATAATACCATACTAGAATCCCATCAAACAATTATGAGAAACTATAGTGGCAGCGAACACTTTAATTTTTACTTTAATTTTTAATATGGTAAATTTCAATAAATATCACCCATGCAACCAAAAGCTTTTAATATGATAAATTTCAATAAATATCACCCATACAACCAAAAGCTCTTTTAGAGTCCTCCATAATTTTTAAAAGTAGAAAGGGGTCCTGAGAGAAAAAAGTTCAAGAAACGATGAATTTTTGTTTTTAAAAGGATTCTGGAAACACAATCACAAGAAGAGGCAACACCTAGGTGACCTCAGCCAATAATAATTTTTTTAAAAATATTGTGTATTTTATGTTTTTTGTATATCACTTAGTGCCACAAAGCACTAAGATGGGGGGGCTCATATAAATTCTATAAATAAATAGAGACAATCTTTCAAAGACCAAAGCAATTACAATGGGGATGGGAGACCACCAGTAAATCTAGATCGGTAATGAAGAAAATTGTAGAAGGAATAGCAGAATCTGGGGTCAGAGTCATAAGAGGGATTAGCCTAGAATCCTTATGTAGCCACAAACGAACTAAGTCCAAATCCCTCTTTAGTGCCATTGAATCTTACCTAACTCTAACCAGATGCTGATTGTTGGTTGAGAAGATTCCTGTCCATAGGCTTTTAGCAATGAATCAATTTAATGCTTGCTCCTGGGGAGGAAAGCCATGGCAAATCTAGACAACATACTAAAAAGCAGAGACGTCACCTTTCCAACAAAAGTGCGTATAGTCAAGGCCATGGTTTTCCCAGTTGCAATGTATGGCTGTGAAAGCTGGACCATAAGAAAGGCTGAGCGCCAAAGAACTGAGGCCTTTGAACTATGGTGCTGGAGAAGACTCCTGCGAGTCCCCTGGACTGCAAGGCCATCAAACCGGTCAGTCCTAGAGGAGATCAACCCCGACTGCTCTTTAGAAGGCCAGATCCTGAAGTTGAATCTCAAGTACTTTGGCTACCTAATAAGAAGGAAGGACTCACTGGAGAAGAGCCTGATGCTGGGAAAGATTGAGGGCAATAGAAGAAAGGGACGACAGAGAATGAGGTGGCTGGATGGAGTCACTGAAGCAGTAGGCGTGAGCTTAAATGGACTCCAGAAGATGGTAGAGGACAGGAAGGCCTGGAGGAACGTTGTCGCGATGGGTCGGACACGACTTCGCAGCTAACAACAACAACAATGTGGATTTGGTCTTTCGCACCTGACCCTAATATTAATCTAGAAGAAAGCAGCCGCAAAATCACGTTTGTATTATTTTACTGAATTATTTATAAACAATAATAAAGTTGGGATAAAAATAAAGATGTAAATAAATAAAAATTAGTGCCAAGAAAATGTTGCCAGAACTTGCACACGACTCGAGGGAGTTGTCTACTTTACACTGAGATCTCGTGATGCTAATTGGTTTGCACGATGGGACCGGGGGTGGGGGGAGGACATCTGAAGTTAGCGTTCTCTTGGCATTTTGCAGCTCCTCTCGGTGAAAATACACCACCACCAAAGAGCCTGAGCTTCTGATTTTGAAATCCCATTTTTGAATTTAAAAGCACAACAGAAGGGCACGTCTCCCTTTGCATTTAAATTACATTGGCAGATTTGTCTGGGGCACCTACTTGCACATGCCTTGAGAATTGTTTCCACGAAAAGCTGTGCAGAATCCCTCAAGGAGTTTGCAGGGAAATATCTGTCCTCCTCTGGCTCCTTTTGTAAGAAACCGGTGGTAAGATTTGCTTCAGCGGGAAGATGACCTACTTTCCTTTTCCTTAAAATATTTCGGGTGTCACGTTTCTGCTGCAAAATATGGATGAAGACTTTTGTTAAAGGAAAAGTCTTCATCAATACCATCCAGTCCTTTAACTTAAAAAGGAAGACAGGAAAATCATATTCAAGGTTACCTCTTAAATTGCTTTTTTGTTCTTTTTCAAAGCCGCAACAGAAGGTGCTGTGTAGTTATAAAAGATAAGATAACCTTTATTGTCATTTTTTACTGTGGGCACAACGGCACACATCAAAAATGAAATTTAGTTGCCCGCTCTCAAAGTGAAACACATACATGACACACACCTAAACATACGATGAACAACATATGTGATGGCGAACATTTTAGAGACCGAGTGCCCAAACTACAACCCAAAACCCACTTATGCATCGTCGGGTGCCGGGTGGGTATGGCTCATTGGGTGGGTGTGGCTCATTGGGTGGACGTGGCTGAGGTGGTAACGGCAGACTGGGTGGGACTAAAAAGTTCAATCAATCCCAACTTTGCAAGATCTTTTTTTTCCCACGAGAAGTTGAAATTGACTGATTGATTGAACCTTTTTTTTTTTTGTACACGGCGGCGGAGGCCTAAAGCGAAAAGGTTTTATAAAACCCAGCTGAAGGCCTAGGACTGGGGCAACGGCGCACGTGCCCACAGAGAGAGCTCTGAGTGCCACCTCTGGCACCCGTGCCATAGGTTCGCCACCACCACTGGTATAGACCCCCACCCCTACATATACGTAACAAATAAATATTAAATACTGTCCATCTTGAATGTATAATGGAAGGAGGAAGGCATCAGTGGTTGTTGAAAAAGCTTTTGGAGAATGAAACGGTGATCAAAACTCAATCTTCATGTGTCTACTATGACAATGCTTTTTAACTTTGGCAACTTTAAGACGTGTGGACTTCAACTCTCAGAGTTCCCCTGCCAGCCTTATTTCCTTAAGTAGAAGCTGTACAACTGATTGATTCGTCGTCACCCAGGGTCCCTTGTCCGAGATGAGCAGCAATAGAAATTAAATAAATAAAAACGGGAAACCGCCTGCCCATGGTTCTCCATCGCTGGAGGTTTTAAGAAGATCCTGGATGGCCCTCTTTCAAGGATGGATTAAGTCAGGGTTTCCCAACCTTGGTAACCATGCTGGGTGGGGAATTCTGGGAATTGAAGTCCACAAGTCTTAAAAGCCGCCATAATTGGGAAACCAGAATTAAGCGGTTAGTGCACATGGCAGAGGCTGGATTAAATCAGTGTTTATTAAAGTGGCAGCGGTGCCTATGAAAACCTAATAAATATTCTTACATTTCTCAAGTTTTAATTTCTCAGTCAGTATTGACAGGCATCACCCACATAAAGCAAAGCTCTTTGAGATCTTCAATCATTCTTAAGCATGTAAAGGGGTCATGAAAGCAAAATGTTTCAGAATCAATAAATTATATGATACTGGGTTCCCCTCCACTTCCAGAATTCTGGGATGTTTCAATATTTTTTTTCCCTTTTGGTGCTCTTCTAGGTTGCAGAGATGGAGGAAATGACCATTTGGGAGCAATATACCATTACATTGAACAGGGTAAGTAGAAGCATTGCAGCAACCCCCATAAGCATCGAATAAATAGTAATAATTTCACGCTGCAGGTGTTTTATACTTCCATATTTCCTTGTTTGAAATGTTAGTTTCCATATTAATATTTTTTCCTTTTGTTTTTGTATCTGCGATATTCATAGAGTAGATTTTATTTTTTTTTTATTTTAATGCGGAATAAGTGGACTCATTATTAAATTAATATTATGTTGTTATACATTGATTGTATTTAGAAAGCGTTCATTATCTATGGAGAGTCTCAGTCATCCAGGCCATGGTTGTCCCAAAGGTGCTTTTTCAAAAGGCAACTGGACTTCGTTTTTCCTTGAAGGCGTTTCGCTTCTCATCCAAGGAGCTTCTTCAGTTCTGACTGTCAGAAGTGATGAAGCTTCTTGGATCAGAAGCGAAAGATCTGCAAGGAAACACAAAGTCCCATTGTCTTTTGAAAAAGCACCTTTGGGACAAAACGCTCATTAGAATTTGTGGACTTACTGGCGTTTACTCAGTCCTTGAGTTAATCTCAATAAATAAATAATAGAACAAAAGAAACAGAAGAGAATATTTGTAGCTCAGGGTTAAACTGTGGTGTCCTTGGTGCTCTGTGAGCTTCATAGTTTCCTTGCAGACATTTCATTACCACATTAGGTGACATCATCAGTGCTAATAGAAAGTGCTCAGAGCAAACCCCACTTCCTATTAGCACTGAACAACCTGCCTCCAGAAGCGGTGAATGCTCCAACACTGGAAGTTTTTAAGAAGAGACTGGACAGCCATTTGTCTGAAATGGTATAGGACAGGGGTTGGCAACCTTGGCTCTTTTATGACTCGTGGACTTCAACTCCCAGAATTCCTGAGCCAGCCATGCTGAGGGGAAAGGGAGAGGTTTCCAAGCTGAGCCATGCTGGCTCAGGAATTCTGGGAGTTGAAGTCCACGAGTCATAAAAGAGCCAAAGTTGCCTACCCCTGGTATAGGGTTTTCTGCCTGAGCAGGGGGTTGGACTAGATGACCTTCAAGGTCCCTTCCAACTTGATGATGATGATGATGATGAGTACAGAGAAGAGCAACAAAGATGATTAGGGGACTGGAGGCTAAAACATATAAGGAACAGTTGCTGGAATTGGGAATGTCTAGTTTAATGAAGAGAAGGAGGAGGGGGGACAGGATAGCAGTCTTCCAATATCTCAGGGGCTGCCCCAAAGAAGAGGGAGTCAAGCTATTCTCCAAAGCGCCTGAAGGTAGGACAAGAAGCAATGGATGGAAACTAACCAAAGAGAGAAGCAACCTAGAACTAAGGAGAAACTTCCTGACAGTTAGAACAATTAACCAGTGGAACAACCTGCCTCCAGAAGCGGTGAATGCTCCAACCCTGGAAGTTTTTAAGAAGAGACTGGACAGCCATTTGTCTGAAATGATATAGGGTTCCCCGCCTGAGCAGGGGGTTGGACTAGATGACCTCCAAGGTCCCTTCCAACTTGATGATGATGATGATGATGATGATGATGATGATGATGATGATGATGATGATGATGTTACCTAGTTTGGTAATGAAACATCTGCAAGAAACCCACCAAGCTTACAGAGCACCAAGGACCCCACAAAAGAAAAATTGCATTTATTTCTTATATCAGTGGTTATATCCTTATACTTTCTTCTTTAGGTTATTTTCTATTTTCTTGCAATAAGAAATGCAGGAAAAGGTCTTAATGTTTTCTCTTTTCATTCAGGATCCCCGGAAGGGTTTTGGCATCGCCATTTCGGGTGGCCGCGATCGTCCAAACAGTTCAGATGGCGACACCTCTATTGTCATATCAGATGTGGTGCCTGGAGGACCGGCTGTTGGCCGACTCCAGTGAGTACTTAAAACAAGTCAATTCAGCAAACTCACAAACCAGGGAAAAATGAAAATTTTTCTCTGGGACTCCCAAGAACCAGTTGCAATGGCTATTCTCCTTCTAGGACAGGGGTAGGCAATCTTGGCTCTTTCATGACTCGTGGACTTCAACTTCCAGAATTCTGGGAGTTGAAGTCCACGAGTCATAAAAGAGCCAAGGTTGCCTACCCCTGTTCTAGGATGTCACAGTAGTTTAACCAATGGCTGGGCCATGCTTGCTGCTTTTGGGTGGGGAAGGGCAGGAATTGTTTAAATTATCTCTTTGGACACCAACTTGCATGCTCACTCAGTGCCTACACTGTGCCCACCTTAGTTGAGATGTGTCTGGTGGGAAAACAGAATAATATTTCTTAATTATAGCAGAGGTAGGCCTCAATTTATGACTGGTTGCCTAGCAACCATTCAAAGTTACAACAGATCTCCCCAAAAGGGACCTACCATCCGATTTTGGATGATGAAAATGGCGCACACAAACACACACATACAAACACCCACACAACACACACGGAGCAGATACATGACTTCATTTTGGTCACTTGGCAACTGGCTCTTCTTTATGACCGATTGTAGTATTCTGCAGTCACGTGATGCAATTTCTGATTTTTTGGGGGGGGGCTGGAAAACCTGCCCTTTTGGTCAGTTTCCAACAAGTAACACCCTTAGGAATGAACTAACTTGCTTAATGACTGCAAGTGTTCACTTAATGACCGCTGCAAAAAAGGTTGCCAAATTGGGTCAGTCATGTGAGTGCCTCAACATTATTTCCATATTTCCATTATGATGGAAAGTCCAGGCTCCATCGTGGTTGTAAATTGAGGACTACATATAATTGTTAAGTGGTAAAATGGTCAATCTCTCTGCTTCAGGAGGCATCCCCTTCTTGAGACTTTAATTCCGTTGTGCCACATTGTTCCACGACATTTTTTTGCTATCTCAAATGACTGCGTTGTACGTGCATCCTGATTTTTAAAATATTTTAATGGTCTTTTACATGGAGAATGTGTCAAGATGGGAAATAGGCTGTGTCCTTGGCTAATATGCCACAGATCTAATTTTCTCTGAATCTCCAAATAGGGGTACATTAGATTCCAGTTGTCATTGCTGGAGAAGCCAGCAGAGGCAAGATCGAACAAAATTAGGTTAAAAAAGAAAAGAGCTGTGTAAGCCAGCTTCCTACGTTGCTGGTGTATTTCAGTCTGTTCATTTAGAACAGACATGTCAAACACAAGGACCGGGGGCCGGATGCGGCCCGCAAAGTGATTTCATGTGGCCCGCGAAGCCATCCTGGAAACAGTGAGGGAATGGCCCCCGCTGCCTTGGCCCTGGCCCAGGCCAGCTGGGAGCCAATGTACAATTTTGTGGTGGCCATCTATGCTGAAATGCATTCAGTCTTAGCTCCATAAGCCCCCCCCCCCCGCATGCCCTGAGAGGAACAGTGAGGCTCCTCCAGTGGACTATGCCTTGGCACTTGCCCTGGTCCCACCCACTTCTGCCAGAGACCCTCAGATCTGTCCCACTCCTGCCCAGGCCCCCACAGGCACCCTTGACGCAAACGATGTAGAGCTGGCCACACCCACCCAATAGGCCACACCCACTCCATCCACACCCACCCAGTAGGCCACACCCACCCTGGCCACACACCCCTGCCCCCCCCCGAGGGCAACCGCAATGCTGATGCGGCCCTCAATGAAATTGAGTTTGACACCCCTGATTTAGAACAATGAGGACTAGAACTTTGTGGCATCTTGAAGGAGCGCAATTAAAGTTCTTCCATCCACAGATCATGGGGCTGGGGGGGGGATGGGATGTCCCATCTGTAAAAGCAAGTTGAAGCGATTTTTAATACTCTTTTAAAAATCTTTTGGAAAAGAGAGAGGAGAAGCGAAACATCGTGGCTTCTTTCTCACTTGCTAGGCCTTTACTTATCTCCCTGTTTACATTTGACAGGACCCGGGACAAGATTGCCATGGTCAACGGCCTCTCCATGGAGAACGTATCTTCGTCTTTTGCCATCTCCACTTTGAAAACTTGTGGCAAGTTGGCTAATATTGTGAGTGTCTGTGGAGATTCTCAGGCATCCAGGTCATGGTTGTCCCAAAAAAGGTGATTTTTCAAGAGGGAACTGGACTTCCTTTGTTTTTGCTTGAAGACGTTTCGCTTCTCATCCAAGAAGCTTCTTCAGTTCTCTTCTTCAGTCCGTTTGCCTTTTGAAAAAACACTTTGGGGACATTGTGAGTGCAGATGAGGCAGATCAGTTGAAGAAGGGGCAGTATTTGAAATATGTTCGTTCTTTTCTATTTTTTTGCAAGATTAGCTAAGGTTAACCTATTCTCAGAATGAGCCGAGAAGCTGAAGTCAAGTTTGATATTGGTTTAGTATCCTGGCTTGTTCAGATAATGATAGCTTCCAGCTCAGAAAAGTGGAAATTGAAATTATGTAAAGAGGTCCTGGTTTCCTTGCTCGTCCTGTAAAGATGGGAGTGATAAATTTACATGTATCATACTGTATATTTATACTTATTTATTTTTACAAATAACTCAAGGCAGCGAACATGCCTCATACTCCTTCCTCTTTCCATTTTCCTCACAGCAACCAACCCTGTGAGGTAGGTTGGTCTGAGAGAGAATGACTGGCCCCACGTCACCCAGCCAGCTATAATGCTTACGGTGGGATTTGAACTCACGGTCTCCCAGTTTCTAGTCTGGTGTCTTAACCATTAGACCAAACTGGCTCTATTATTAAAGCTGAATACGGTTTAGGTACTATGGAACTACATCCAAATTCAGTTTCAGTAAGTTTATAGCCCTCATGGTTGTTGTTGTTTAATGCTGAGACAAAATCTCTGTCAAGCTTGGAAAAAAAATTGTTGAGGAAAAGAATAGTGCTAACATTTTTGCTGAGTGGGACTTGATTATTCTCCTCCCCATGACAGGAAAAGTGGACAAGTTGCCTACAAAAATTGCAACTTTTCATACTTCCGTTTTAATTCCCATAATGGGTTTGAATCTTTTTTTCACAGATTTTGTTTTTTCGTTTAGTTCATAAAGCCGGCAGCCAAACCTTGGCAAACGTTTAACATTTTTGGACTTCAACTCCCAGAATTCCCCAGCCAGCCAATCTGGCTGGGGAATTCTGGGAATTGAAGTCCACATATCCTCAAGCTACCAAGGTTGAGAAACACTGGCCCAGATGCAAATCTCAGATGCAAATTCATTTTCTCTTATTTGCAGACGGTCAAAAGGCCCAGAAAAATCCACTTGCCAGTTGCCAAATCCAGCCAGCCAAGAAGCCAGCCTCTCTTGACGCCTACTAAACACCTGACAGATGGGAGAAATGAGGACTCGGATGAGGACTATGGGTACCGGGGTGGTGAGTCGGGCAGACACCCCGGGCAGAGCCGACAGCGGACAGAAGCAGAACATAACCGCGGTTACGATGGAGACTCGTCCAGCGAGAGAAGTTCGGGACATTATCGTGATGATGACAATGATAGCACCCACAGGCAGCCCCTCAGGAGCCGGATGCGGAGCCAAGAGGGGGGCTACCGGAGGAGGAGCCAAGACAGCGGGTCTGATAGGGCGCCTTTGGCCAATGGGCACCATCACAAAGGAAGCACCAGCGGGCTTGTCCTGATGTCTGGGTTTAAGCGACTGCCAAGGCAGGACGTGCCGATGAAACCCGTCCGCTCGGTTTTGGTGAAACGTAAGGAGAGTGAAGGTGAATGGCTAACTTTCTTTTCACCCATTTACCCTGTTCTGCGCCTCCAAATTAAGGTACAGGTAGTCCTCGACTTACAACCATTTGTTTAGTGACCGTTCGAAGTTACAACCGCACTTATGACCACTTTTCCCCCTCAACGACTGTTGCAACTTCCCCACAGTCACGTGATCAGAATTCAGACACTTGGCAACTGGCATGTACTTGTGACGGTTGCAATGTCCCAGGGTCACGTGATCAACTTTTGTGACCTGCTGACAAGCAAAGTCAAAGGGGAAACTGGTTAACAGCCCTGTTACCAACTTAACAACTGCAGCGATTCACTTAACAACTTCGGCAAGAAAAGTCATAATATGGGGCAAAGCTCACTTAACGATTGTCTTGCTTAGCAATGGAAATGTTGGTTGTGAGTTGAGGACAACCTGTTCAGTTCTCCCTTTCTCTGTCTAATGTGGTTCATCAGTCTCGGTGTTTTTCAAATTTAGCAACTTTAACAGGAGAGGACTTCCATTCCCAGAATTCCCCAGCCAGCATAGCAGAATTCTGGGAGCTGAAGTCCACCCATCTTAAAGTTGCCGGGTTTTAAAAACATCAATCTATCTGATTTGCCAAAATTCTAATTTTTCACCTGATGTTCTGTATCCTGAACTAAGATGCTTTGTAATTCAAGACCAGACAGGGACAACTCAACGAAGATGGTTATAAAACAAATATTTATTCCAGAAATACTTGGCAGAACTCACGATTCTGTAGTTTCATCTGGATGCTGTACATTTGTCCATTTTTGTAGATAAAATCAGTAATTCCTCCATATTCACTTTAGCCTGGTTACAGATGATATCCATGCGTGTGGCATGGTTGGTTTCGCACAAAGACAATTAAACACGAGCTGGCATGTAGCCAGGATATCCTGTGATGAACTTAGTAGCCCCTCCCACTGACTTGTTAACATAGGATTCACTGAACAGCTAAAATTACATTACCCATAAGCCATCTCTTAAGGAGACAGCGCTTAACCCTTTAAATGCCAAACATTCCAACATACAGTTCTCATCTAACTAGCCGGTCCAGAATGTGACAGAACTGTGCATTCAGAACAGGACAGAATAACAGAGCTGGAAGGGACCTTGGAGGTCATCTAGTCCAACCCCCTGCTCAGACTGGTTCTCACCCTTAACAACTGTTGCAGCATCCCCACAATCATGTGATCAAAATTTGGGGGCTTGGCACGCGGCATATATTTACAACGGCTGCAAAATCCCAGGATCATGTGATTGTCATTTGCAAACTTCCCAGCTGGCTTCCGACAAGCAAAATCGATGGGAGAGGTTGGATTCACTTAACAGTCGCACAATGCACTATAACAATTGCATTGATTTGCTTAACAACCATGGCAAAAAAAGGTTGTAAAATCGGGCATAACTTACTTAACAACTTCCTGGCTTAACAACATAAGTTCTGGTCCTAATTGTGGGCTTCCTATAATAACTGTACCCTCCCACTGCTAGAAGATGATTTTATGAATGGGAACAATGTTCATTTTGCTAACTGACCCTCTAAAATTTTTCCTTCCTGAAACCCCAAGAATACGGGCTGAAGCTGGGGAGCCAGATTTTCATCAAACACATCACTGAGACAGGATTGGCGGCCAAGGATAATTCCCTGCAGGAAGGGGACCTTATCCTCAAGGTGAGTCGGGAAAGGTTGCTATTATCACAATAGCTCATGGTCTGGATATACAGTACCTGTTTATATTGCTGTGATTTTTGAGAATAGACTTCAGCTGTGCCACTGAAAAAGCAAATATGGCCCTAAAACGTTATGTGGTTGCCGTGATTAAAAAAAAAAGATATTGAGATTCCAGAAGGAGTGCAGAAAAGAGCAACAAAGATAGTTAGAGGATGGAAGACTAAAACATATAAAGAACGGTTGCTGGAATTGGGTATGTCTAGTTTAATGAAAAGAAAGACTAGGAGTTTCAGGATAGCAGTCTTCCAATATCTCAGGGGCTGCCACAAAGAAGAGGGAGTCAAGCTATTCTCCAAAGCACCTGAAGGCAGGACAAGAAGCAATGGATGGAAACTAATCAAGGAGAGAAGCAACCTAGAACTAAGGAGAAACTTCCTGATAGTTAGAACAATTAATCAATGGAATGACTTCCCTCTAGAAGTTGTAGGTGCTAAATCACTGGAGGTTTTTAAAAAAAGATTGGATAACCTTTTGTCTTGAAATGCTATGGGACAGGGGTGTCAAACTCGCAACGTCGTATCGTGACTTCTTTCCATTGCCAGCAATGGGGTGGGCGTGGTTTCGCCATGATGCATCCGGCCCATGGGCCGGCAGTTTGACACCCCTGCTATTCTATTCTGTTCTGTTCTATTCTATTCTGTTCTGTTCTGTTCTGTTCTACTCTGTTCTCTGTTCTGTTCTGTTCTATTCTCTGTTCTGTTCTGTTCTATTCTATTCTATTCCATCCCATCCCATCCCAGTTGTTAGGCAGCCTTACCATAATGGACAAATAGGAGATCTTAAGGTTTTACTTTATTTTTTTTATTCATTTGTTTGATTTTTATAGTTGCCCATCTGAACAATTGCCTCTTAAGGTTTTGAGGCATGTTGCAGAACAGAGGGAGCGGTCACTTCATTCGCATCACCAGTTAAGGGGCTACTTAGCCAAAAGAAAAGGGACCCTCAGCCACGATTAATATAAAGAAATAAACAGATAATCATATAGAATTGAAAGGGAAGGAGTGAAAGGGAAAGTGGTCACATCTTCCTCTGCCACCTTCTTTAATTGCCTGGGTAGAATTTCCAGCCACCTGTGGGGACCATGCGAGAAACAATTTGGTGCAGCGATGAAGGTGCTAGTTTAGAAACTGGGAGTTTTAGTTCTCCATTAATTGTGGAAGCCCACTAGGTGACTTTGGGCCAGTCCCTCTCTCTCAGCCCAACCCACCTCACAGGGTTGTGGTGGGATAAATAAGAGATTAGAGCATTGTATACATCAGAGGTGTCCAATCTTGGCAACTTTAAGATTTGTGGACTTCAGCTCCCAGAATTCCCCAGCCAACTTCTCCTCCTCCTCCTCCTCCTCCTCCTCCTCCTCCTCCTCCTCCTCCTCCTCTTCCTCCTGTTATTTTGCAAGTGAGCATATGGCAAAAATCAAAAACCTTTTAGAAAACAATGAGTTGCGGAAAATGTTGAGTAAAAATGGACAATTTGTAGCCTTCACTGGATTGTCCCCCCATCCTTGTTTTCATTGCTCCTCTTCCACGCTGCTACACAAAAAATAAAATGAGCCTCTGGGCCAAAACATTGCTTCGCAATAGCACTTAGACTTATATACCGCTTTATAATATTTTACAGCACTATCTAAACAGTTTTATAGAGTCAGCTATTGCCCCCAATAAACTGGGCCCTCATTTTACTGACCTTGGAAGGATGGAAGGCTGAGTCACCCTTGAGCCAGTGAGGATCAAACTAGTGGCAATGGGCAGAGTTAGCCTGCAATTCTAACCACTGCGCCACTATGGCTCATCAGCATTGTGCTGCCTGACATAAGGCTGGGATAAGGTTTTGAGCAAAGAAAACATTACTTGGCCCTGACTCATCTCTTCATCTCTTCCTCTTATCTAGATCAATGGCGTTGTCAGCAAGAACATGTCTTTGGAAGAGACACGGCAACTGATCGAACAGTCCGAGGGAAAACTTACCTTACTCGTTTTACGTGATAACAGCCAATTCTTGGTCAACATCCCGCAAGTGAGAGACAGCGATACGGAAAGTTCCCACCTGGACGGTGAGGGGGGACTCTGGAGAAAAAGTGGGGTGGGGAAGAAGAGGTGGAGAAAATGGAAGTGGATCCTGAGGTTGCTGAGATAGCAATAGCAGTAGAACGTAGACTTATATACCGCTTCATAGTGCTTTATAGCCCTCTATAGGCGATTTACAGAGTCAGCATATTGTCTCCAACAATCTGGAATCTGATTTTACCAACCTCGGAAGGATGGAAGGCTGAGTCAACCATGACCCAGTCAGAGTCGAACTGCTGGCAGTCGGCAGAATTAGCCTGCAATACTGCATTCTAACCACTGAGTCACCACAGCTCTTAAGATCATACCTTTAGGGAAGTGGATAAAGATAGAGATGGATTAGTGTATAGGCAACCACAATCGAGACTGGCAACTTACATGTTAACGAAAGCAGTTGCTAAGTGGTGGCGCAGTGGTTAGAATGAAGTATTGCAGGCTAACTCTGCCCACTGCCAGGTGTTTGATCCTGACTGGCTTGAGATTGACTCAGCTTTCCATCCTTCCAAAGTCGGTAAAACGAGGACCCAGATTGTTGGGGACAATATGCTAACTCTGTAAACTGCTTAGAGCAGAGGTCCCCAACCTGTGGGCCACGGCCCGATAGTGGGCCATGGGCTGCTAGCCACCGGGCCGTGGGACAGATTGGCACCGCGGCCGTGGGGAGCGGAAACAGGACGCTGTGCCACGCGAAAACAGGATGCCGACACATCTTGGGATGCAAAAATGGGCCGACGCCATGTCTCGGGGCATGAAAATGGGCCGACACCACACTGCAGGGCACGAAAACAGGACGCTGCTGTCCACGGGCCACAAAAACGGGATGCCACTGCGCCATGGGGTGCAAAAATGGGGCGCTGCTGCATCACGGAGTGCAAAAATGGGACGCCACCACGCTGCGCAAAAATGGGCCAATGCCACACCTCGGAGGGCAGAAACAGGGTGCTGTACACAAGAACGGGGCAGGGCTAGCAAGTATCACGCAAGCGCTAGTCCCACCCCGTTTGCATCATGCGGATGCTCGCATAGAATGACTTTGGGCTTTGTACAAATTTGTCAGATTTGTCTGCTTCTAAATAGGAGAATGCTAATCAGAACAAAGTGTCTGCCTTGTATAATTCTAGTTACTTTTCTGTTTTTTTAGATATATCTGATCTTGGCTCAGACATCTCGTCTCCCCCTCCTGTGGGAAGTACACCACACTCTCCTCAATCTCCGACAAGAGATCCTGTCTGGTAGGAATCTCCCCTTAAGCCTTAGTTGGCTGCTGTTCTCTGCATAAATGGCTTGCAAAAATAATCCAGATAATCCAGATTAAATGATAACAGAATTAGAGATTTTAGGGTCTCTTTGCTGCCGTCTAGTGGTTATTTGAATTCTAACAGCCCAGGTAAGGCAGTCCTAAACACAGCATTTTCCCACTATCGGATTTTAAAACTAGCCTCTCCAACTAGGTGGCAGTAACCTGGTTGATCTAAAAAAAGTTAACCCTTAATTTGGGGTAGAGTTGGAGCAACTGGATGGAGCTGAGCATTTACTGGCAGATGCCCTTCCTGACGCCGTACTGAGTTCACAGCAATTTTCTTTCTCTGCCCTGATAGAGAAACATCTGTTGCTACCTAGGATCGAACTCTCAATCTTCCGAGCGGGAAGTGAGTGTCTTTACCATTAGGCCACTACGTTGCTTACATTCTCCAACCACAGTATTAGGAGCAAATTGATAACCAGGGTGATGGAAAAGTTAAGGGCAAGATCTAATCATGTTTTACAGTCAATTTATGACTGATCACATAATGAATATTTGAAGTTATAATGGACCACCCAACAGCTATTTACAGCAGTTATGATGACACACACACACACAGACACTACAGTGATGTAATCACATTTTGGGTGCTTGGCAACTAGCTCACCTTTACAGCTGTTTGCAAAAATCACAATTTTTGATGTTTTTGGCCCATTTTCAGCATTTACTTCCAGTTTCCAGTTTTTCCCAAAACACCCACTGGGTAAAATGTATTTGTTTAATGACTGTGGCACTTGCTTAATGAGCATCACAAAAAATATTGAAAAATTGGATCCAGTCACATGATTCCTTGACTTACATCTGCAATGAGTTACAACTGTAATTCCAGGCTCAATTAAGGTTGTAAATTGAGGACTACCTCTATAGCAGTGGTTCTCAACCTGTGGGTCGGGACCCCATTTGGGGTCGATCAACCATTTCACGGGGGTCACCAAGCAAGGCTGTCCGCCATTTTTTTTGTCCGCCATTTTTTTTGTCCGCCATTTTTTCCCCTTTTCCGGCGGGTGCCTTACCTCCCTTGGGCTGGGCCAGCTGGTGGTCGGCCTGCTCCGTCTCTGCCGCTTGCCAGCTACGCCTCGGCCGGCGCAGGGGGCGGAACCACGCATGCGCGGCGCTCCCGGGCAGGGAAAGTCCTCGACTTACGACCGGTTGGGTAGTCCTCGACTTACAACCGGTTTAGTCCTCGACTTACGACCAGTTTAGTCCTCGGCGTACGACTGGTTTAGTCCTTGACTTACAACCGCTTGGGGTCGCGGCATTAAAAAGGTTGAGAACCACTGCTCTATAGCCCTTAAATCCGTTATATCTTGGACAAGGCTTGTGTACAAGAAGAATAATACGTTTAAGTTACCACAAATCAGAGGCTTTAATAGCTCAGCTTAAAAGGGGGAAATAGTTGCCCTGTTTCTACTGAGATAACTTCCTGAATGTATTCATTCATTCATTCATTCATTCACTCGCTCACTCAATTTATATAGCACTGATTGGGCATGCTGCTATATTTTGTAAAATAATTTATTGCGCGAACAGTTCTTTTAATCTATCTGTATGGCTTTTTCACCCAGTAAGATATAGTAAGATCACTGTTTAATTATCATAATTGGATAATACTTACCTTCCCCCCCCCCTTTTTTTGCTTATTGTCTCTTCAAGTTTCTGGCTCTTATTGTGAGTGACCCTAGATCTGTCAAATGTATTATTCTTTTATTTGTTCCCCTCTTAGGTGGTGATTTTTCTATCTTGGATTGTTTGGGCTGATTTTGGATTTAATTCTGCTCTAATTCTAACTTTCTTTGTGTTAATACGTGACACTGAGGCTGCAAAACAGGAAACAAATAAGTCATAGTCATAACTGAACATAACTCCAACCTTGGCAACTTTAAGACTTGTGGACTTCAACTCCCAGAATTGCCCAGCCAGCATGGCTGGCAGGGGAATTCTGGGAGTTGAAGTCCACAAGTCTTAAAAGTTGCTACGTTTGGAGGCACTTGATTTAAATAATGATTGCAAAAGATACCCTGGAGAGCTTTGAGATATCGTTGTTTCCCTCAAATTATCATTCTGGGTTTTGTCTTCTTCTCCCATCCCACCCACCTGGCCGGATCAAACAGGGGTTACAGCAGACAAGAGACAGCAGTGGAAGAGTTGACTTCACCACAAGTTTTTAGTAAGTGCCTTGAATTTAGCTTCTCTTGTAAGGTCGATGATAATGAGCAATGTCTCTTGAGGGAGAAAAAAATCACTTCTAGGATCAATTACAAACACAAACATCATCATCATTGTCACTATTATTTTTACTATTATGGTTGATTGCACAGTAAGCCAGATGTTTAGATTGGATTTGCCATTTTTGTCCACTCATTGAGTCCTTCCCAAGAACCAGGGATAGGCAGATGTTGTTGTTTGATAGTGTTGAAAGTATCGTCGCAGAATATACGTAAGATGTTGCAAGTAAAGCTGCCTTTTGCAATTGACCGATGGGGATTTTGTCAATGCCGATGGTGTTCAGGTGATGCATCCAGATATTTTGGAATTGCACTCAAGGCGCCTATTGCTATCTGCACTATCTTTGCTTTCTTTTGCCACACTTGTTCTACTTCTACTTGCGGGTCTTTGTAGCTTGTGATTTTCTCCTGTTCTTTCTCTTCCCTTCTGCTGTCTTTTTCTGCTGTATTATACAGGCCGTCCTCGACTTACAACAGTTCATTTAGTGACCGTTCAGTGGCACTGAAAAAAGTGACTTTTGCCTCATTTTACAACCTTTTTCGCCATACTTATTAAGTGACTCACCGCAGGTCTTAAGTTAGTAACATGGTTGTTAAGTGGGTCTGGCTTCCCCATTCACTTTGCTTGTCAAAAGGTCACATAAGGGGATTACATGACCCCGGGATGCTGCAACCGTCATAAATATGGGTCAGTTGCCAAGCATCTGAATTTTGATCACGTGACCGTGGGGATGCTGCAACGGTCATAAGTGTGAAAAATGGCCATGTCACTTTTCTCAGTGCCATTGTAACTTTGAACGACCATCAAATGAACCGTTGTAAGTCGAGGACTGCCTGCATTTTAGATTTCATATTTTTCTCTCTTGTGTTCTTATCGAAATGTGAGGTGAATGTGCCATACGATGAGTAAATAACTCCGTGGGTTCTTTCTACTCCCTTCTAGATCCCGAGGAATCCCCCCCCAATGAGTACAATTTCCAAGGGAATAATTCCATCATACAAAATGATGGGATTTCAGGGTAAGTTCCGCAATGGCAGACTGTATTTTGGACGGCAGCATCTGGGCAGAGAGCCTGGATTTGAACCCTGTTCGGCTTTTGCAGGTACAGCCCCGATTCGAAGGTGGTGCGTTTTATCAAAGCCAAGAGCATCGGCCTCCGTCTGGCAGGTGGGAATGACGTTGGGATATTTGTGGCTGGCGTGCAGGAGGGCAGCCCGGCTGAGATTCAAGGCCTCCAAGGAGGTGACCAGATCCTTCAGGTAATGAACCATCTCGGATCTTGGTAGATCTGGAATCTTGGCTATGTGCAGGATGGTTACTGGCTCCAAAGGAGAAGACTAGAAGTAATGGGAGGAAAGTGTAGGGAGCCAGTTTGGTCTTATGGTTGATGCAGTTCTAGGCCTGCCTTAACCCTAAAAGCCAGCTCGGTGACTTTGGGCCAACCATCAGGAGACTTTGAGTTCAAGTCCCACCTTAGTCATAAAAGCCAGCTGGGAGACTTTGGGTCAATCGCCAGGAGACGGTGAGTTCTAGTCCTGCCTTAGTCATAAAAGCCATCTGGGCCAATCGCCAGGAGACAGTGAGTTCTAGTCCCGCCTTAGCCATAAAAGCCAGCTGGGTGACTTTGGGCCAATAGCCAGGAGATGGTGAGTTCTAGTCCCGCCTTAGCCATAAAAGACATCTGGGAGACTTTGGCTCAATCGCCAGGAGACAGTGAGTTCTAGTCCTGCCTTAGTCGTAAAAGCCAGCTGGGTGACTTTGGGTCAATAACCAGGAGATGGTGAGTTCTAGTCCTGCCTTAGTCATAAAAGCCAGCTGGGTGACTTTGGGCCAATCACCAGGAGACGGTGAGTTCGAGTCCTGCCTTAGCCATAAAAGCCAGCTGGGTGACTTTGGGCCAATCGCCAGGAGACAGTGAGTTCTAGTCCCGCCTTAGCCATAAAAGCCAGCTGGGTGACTTTGGACCAATCGCTAGGAGACCCGCCTTAGGCTTGAAAGTCAGCTGAGTGACCTTGGGCAGCCCCTCTGTCTCAGCCCAACCCACCTCACAGGGTTGTTGTTGTTGTGGGAAAAATAGGAGGAGGAAGATGTGTTGGATATGTTCGCCCACCTCGAGTTACTTGTAACAATAACAAAAGGGAAAGGCGTCCCTGCGGATTTTACTCTGGTAGTGTTGCCGACTCTAGGAGGCAGTTGTTTTCAAACTGCTAGGGTGGCGGGAGCTCACCCTGTCTCGTGGCGCTCGGGTCTCGAACCTGGGTTGCCGGCTTTTCCAGCCGACAACAAGCCCAGTGCCTTAACCGCTGAGCCACAGCGCTGCTCCAATAAAAATAATAAAGGTGGGATACAAATCAATCAATCAATAAAAGGTCGTTACAGACGAGACCAGAGTTTCTCAACCTTGGCCACCCACTTTAAGATTTGTGGACCTCAACCCTGCCTTCCACCTTGATTTCCTGAAGCAAGGCAATGTACCTCAAATAATAAGATCAATAAAGATGGGCATGGGCAAGCGAGGTGGGCAGTGCTGGCCAACCCCCCTTTTGCCCCTTTCTCTTGGCAGGTGAACGAGAAGCCCTTCCACAACTTGACTCGCGAGGACGCTGTGCAGTACTTGATGGAGTTGCTCCCAGGAGAAGAAGTGACGTTCCACGTTCAGAACAAACAGGACAGTAAGCGACATGGCTCTTGGCTGATTTACTCCTCAGTGGTAGATTTTATGTCCCTCCTTTCCCTCCTATCGTATGTGTGTGTTTCCTGTTAGGGGAAGTGGTTATAGGCAAGTTAACGCCCTTAAACATGGAATACTGCATCCAGTTTTGGTCGCCATGAGGTAAAAAAGATGTTGAACTAAGGAGGAATTTCCTGACAGTGAGAACAATTAACCAGTGGAACGACCTGCCTCCAGACGTTGTGGCTGCTCCATCACTGGAGATTTTTAAGAAGAAACTGGACAGACATTTGTCTGAAATGGTATAGGGCAGGGGTAGGCAACCTTGGCTCTTTTATGACTGGTGGACTTCAACTCCCAGAATTCCTGAACCAGCCATGCTGACTCAGGAATTCTGGGAGTTGAAGTCCACCAGTCTTAAAAAAGCCAAGATTGTCTACCCCTGGTATAGGGTCTCCTGCCTGAGCAAGGGGTTGGACTAGAAGACCTCCAAGGTCCCTTCCAACTCTGTTATTCTGTCTGTTATTCTTTTTTAAACCTTCTATCAAAGAGAAACAGCCCCACAAATATGCCCTGGCCAGACAAGCATCTGAAGGCCCTGAAAAAACCAGAGAGATGGATGAATGGATAAAAAGAGGGATGGATGAAAAGATGGATACATGCTTTTTTAAAAAAATATTGCCACCTGTACCTTATTAGTATTCCCAAATGCCAGCATCTCCATACAGCAGGGGTCCCCCACCCCCGGTCCGTGGACCGGTACCGGGCCGCGGCATGCCAGCAACCGGTCCGCACAAACAAGCAAAGCCCCATCCGTGGGATGCAGGCAGCACACAAAACCACGCACCCTCCGGTCCGCAGAAAAATCCCCTCTCCATGTAACCGGTCCCTGGTGCTCAAAAGGTTGGGGACCTCTGCCATACAGTATGTGGAGAATTCTTCTCTTTTTTTAAATCTGTGTAACCATATATCCCTGTAAGGTAGGCTGGGCTGAGTGGGGAGTGATGGCTTCCCATTGGTCTCTTCTCCCTAGTTTACAAGAAGATGGTCAAATCCAACCTGGGCGATTCGTTCTATATCCGCACCCACTTTGATTTTGAGAAGGATACGCCTTCCGCCCTGAGCTTCACACGGGGAGAAGTCTTCCATGTGGTAGACACCATGTATCGGGGCCGGATGGGAAGCTGGCTCGCTCTGCGGATGGGAAAGGAACTTCAAGAGATGGACAAGGGCATCATCCCAAACCAGAGCAGGTAGAAGCGTATGTTTTCTGTGGGGGAAGATTTTTGATTTTTTAAGATTTTTAAAAAGAGACTGGACAGTCATTTGTCCGAAATGGTGTAGGGTCTCATGCCCGAGCAGGGGGTTGTACTAGACCAGGGGTAGGCAACCTTGGCTCTTTTACGACTCGTGGACTTCAACTCCCAGAATTCCTGAGCCAGCATGGCTCAGCTTGGAAACCTCTCCCTTTCCCCTCAGCATGGCGGCTCAGGAATTCTGGGAGTTGAAGTCCACGAGTCATAAAAGAGCCAAGGTTGCCTACTCCTGGACTAGACCAGGGCTTTTTAACCAGTGGTACGGGTACCACCTGTGGTACATTGGCACCTGGCAGGTGGTACGCGACCATCCTAGAAAAGTAGCAGGGGAGGGGAATGAGCTGAACCGGTGGCAGCACCGCACACAAGCCTGAGCGAGAGATGGCTGGAGCTGCAGGGCTGTCAGGGCTCAGCGGAAGCGCCAGGATCAGTGCCAGGATCCAGCTGGAGCTCAGCGCTGATCCTGGCACTTCTGCTGAGCCCAGAAGAAGTGCCGATCAGCTGGAATGTTGCAGCATCTCCAGGGTCTTGTGATTTACATTCAGATGCTTGGCAACTGATTCATATTTAGGACGGTCACAGTGTCCCAGGGTCATGTGAAGTGACCAAAACCTACTGCAACCACCCAGCAGACGGGGGGAATAAAAAACAAACACCCCCCACCCCACCCCCGCTGCCAATCCTCAACAGAAATGCTCACAACAATGGAAACCTCGGACAGGAGGAAGAGCGCGGCTGGGCGGGCAGGCAGGTGTCTTGATCGGCTGTGTCTTGGGGGGCACTTTTTTCATTGCTGTTGTAATTTCGAACAGTCACTAAGCGAACTGTTGTAAGTTGAGGACTACCTGTACTTTATCACTTTTTTCCTTTTTGGGGGGGGTCATCAAGTTTTTGACACCTTGCTAGGTGACTGGTGGTACTCGGATGTTGCCATATCCTAAAAGTGGTACAATGGGTGAAAAGGTTGAAAAGCTCTGGACTAGACGACTGTCAACATCCCTTCCAACTCTGTTATTCTGTTATTAATATTAATATTTAATTATCTATCTATCTATCTATCTATCTATCTATCTATCTATCTATCTATCTATCTATCATCTATCTATCATCTATCTATCTATCTATCTATCTATCTATCTATCTATCTATCTATCTATATCTATCTATCTATCTATCTATCTATCTATCTATCTATCTATCTATCTATCTATCTATCTATCTATCTATCTATCTATCTATTTATCTATCTATCTATCTCTATCATCTATTGCATCCATATCTCTGTCTGTCTGTCTGTCTGTCTGTCTATCTAATCCATCTATTTTTGTGACCCCAGGGCAGAACAGTTTGCCAGTCTGGAATCGGTTCTCAAAGCGACCTCAAAGACCTCCAGCGTTTTAGGGGCTCGAGCAGAGTTCTGGAAACTTCGAGGTTTGCGGGGAGCCAAACGGATGCTGCGCAAAAGCCGGGAAGATCTTTCCACCCTCACCAAGCAGGGCCACTACCCGCCATACGAGAAGGTCGTACTCAAGGAAGGTAGGTGCTTGTAGTAGTAGCGAAAGGAGAAAGGCAATATGGCTTTTCGTTGCAGCTAGCCCTCAACTTAACAACCAGAACTGGGACCAGAAAATTTCCATTGCTAACGCACGGCAGTTGTTTAGTGAGTCCCATCCTGTTTTGTGAGTTTTTTCTCGCACACGTAGGGTAATCTCTGCATGTGTTAAGTGAGTCACGCGTTCGTTAAGTGAATCCAGCTTCTCTCATTGACTTTGCTTGTTGGAAGCCAGCTTGGAAGATGATCACATGACTCCCCCAAGAACAGTTGCAGGGATTGGGCATGTCTAGTTTAATGAAAAGAAGGACTAAGGGTAATACGATAGCCCTGTTCCAATATCTGATGGGCTGCCACAAAGAAGAGGGAGTCAAGCTATTCTCCAAAGCATCTGAAGACATAACAAGAAGCAAAGGATGGAAACTAATCAAGGAGAGGAGGAGAAATTTCCTACCAGGGAGAACAATTAACCCGTGGAACAGCTTGCCTTCAGAATAGCAACAGCAATAAAAAGTAAGGTTCTACATTTAGGCAAGAAAAACCAAATGTACAGGTATAGTATAGGGGGTACCTTGCTCAATAGTAGTAACTGTGAGAGGGACCTCGGAGTCCTAGTGGACAATCACCTAAATATGAGCCAGCAGTGTGCTGCAGCTGCCAAAAAGGCCAACACAGTGCTAGGCTGCATTAACAGAGGGATAGAATCANTTGGGGTCGATCGACCATTTCACGGGGGTCGCCAAGCAAGGCTGTCCGCCATTTTTTTTGTCCGCCATTTTTTTCCCCTTTTCCGGCGGGTGCCTTACCTCCCTTGGGCTGGGCCAGCTGGTGGTCGGCCTGCTCCGTCTCTGCCGCTTGCCAGCTACGCCTCGGCCGGCGCAGGGGGCGGAACCACGCATGCGCGGCGATCCCGGGCAGGGAAAGTCCTCGACTTATGACCGGTTGGGTAGTCCTCGACTTATGACCGGTTTAGTCCTCGACTTACAACTGGTTTAGTCCTCGACTTACGACCGGTTGGGGTCACGACATTAAAAAGGTTGAGAACCACTGCTCTAGAAAGAGCACAGAGAAGAGCAACAAGATGATTAGAGGACTGGAGGCTAAAGCATATAAGGAAAGGTTGCTGGAATTGGGTATGTCTACTTTAACCAAGAGAAGGACGAGGGGGGACAGGATAGCAGTGTTCCAATATCTCAGGGGCTGCCCCAAAGAAGAGGGAGTCAAGCTATTCTCCAAAGCACCTGAAGGCAGGACAAGAAGCAACGGATGGAAATTAATCAAGGAGAGAAGCAACCTAGAACTAAGGAGAAACTTCCTGACAGTTAGAACAATTAACCAGTGGAACAACCTGCCTCCAGAAGCGGTGAATGCTCCAACACTGGAAGTTTTTAAGAAGAGACTGGACAGCCATTTGTCTGAAATGGTATAGGGTTTCCTGCCTGAGCGGGGGGTTGGACTAGATGACCTCCAAGGTCCCTTCCAACTTTATATTATTATTATTAATAGCACTTAGACTTATATACCGCTTCACAGCCCTCTCTAAGCGGTTTACAGTCTCAGCCTGTTGCCCCCAACAATCTGGGTCCTCATTTTACCCACCTGGGAAGGATGGAAGGCTGAGTCAACCTTGAGCCGGTGAGAATCGGACTGCCGAATTGCAGGCAGCCAGCAGGCAGCAGAAGTAGCCTGCAGTACTGCCCTCTTAACCACTGCGCCACCACGGCTCTCCTGGTTGCCAAGTGCCCACAGTTTGATCATGTAACCATGGGGGATGCTGTAAAAGTCATAAGTTGTGAAAACTGGTCATAAGTCACTTTTTTTTCCAGTGCTTTTGTAATTTCAAACGGTCACTACACCACCTGACTACCTTTTTCAGTTGTGCACATAACTCTGAAAACGTTCCGTTGCTTTAAGCGCCGCCGAATCATTTTTTTGAAGGGCGCCGAACCCTAAAAGAAAGAAGGAAATACTTCCTCTGATGTCTTTCTCCTAATCTCTTGTGGACTGGAAACTTGGTTTACAAGGTGTCTTGTCTCACGCAGCAACTTTTAAGCGTCCTGTGGTGATCCTGGGCCCCATTGCTGATATCGCCATGCAGAAGCTGAGCACGGAGATGCCAGATCAATTTCAGATTGCAGGTGAGTGGGCTTGGGCGTCAGGGATGACACGCAGCATTTCCTACCTGGTGGATCTCGGCCCCCATTTGGACTCTCCAGCACTTTAGCTGTGCCTTGAAATCCCCCAGAATGCAGTGTTTTTTCAACCTCGGCCACTTTTTCCGCCGTGCCCTGAAGACATGGCTTTTTCAACAAGCGGGTCTGGCCTAGGGAATTTTAGTGGGGCTTTTAAGGGTAATTTTAAGGGTAATTTTAATGATTGGCCTTTTCAAATATTTTCTTTTAATTTGGTTTTAATATAGATATGTATTGTATTGTGGTTTTATAAGGCTGTTAGCCGCCCTGAGTCCGGTGAGGAGAAGGGCGG